CTGGTGCTGGGCTCGGCGCAGCGCCTGGAGTTCATGTGCGGGCTGCTGGACCTGTGCAACCCGTTGGAACTGCGCTTCCTCGGCTCGTGCCTGGAGGACCTGGCGCGCAAGGATTACCACTACCTGCGCGACTCGGAGGCCAAGGCCAACGGCCTCTCGGACCCGGGGCCGCTGGCTGACTTCCGAGAGCCCGCCGTGCGCTCGCGCCTCATCGTCTACCTGGCGCTGCTGGGCTCGGAGAACCGGGAGGCCGCTGGCCGCCTGCACCGCCTCCTGCCCCAGGTGGACTCGGTGCTCAAGAGCCTGCGCGCGGCCCGGGGAGGCAGGGAGGACGAGCTGGGCGCTGAGGACGGCGACGGCGAGCAGGACGCAGAGAAGGACGGGCCGGGCCCGGAAGGTGGCGGCGGCGGCCCGGAGCTCGGGGCTGGAGGCGGGCTGGGCTTCAGGGCCCAGGAGGAACTGCTGCTGCTCTTCACCATGGCTTCGCTGCACCCGGCTTTCTCCTTCCACCAGCGGGTCACCCTGCGGGAGCACCTGGAGAAGCTACGTAGCGCGCTCCGAGGGGGCCTGGAGGACGTAGAGGTGGAGCGGTGCAACTTTGCGGGCTCTGGGGCCCAGGTAAGTCACGCGGAGCCTCACTGGAGTCGCGGTGCGGTCACCGCCCTGGCCTCGCCCTCGGACGCCCCTGGATCTAGCTCCCGCCCCCAACCCGGTGCAGGTAGTTCGCAGTTCCCACGCCGGGGCTCACAGCCCCCGGGAGCTCCCGGCCTCTTTTCGTCGGGCTGCTCAATTCCAGTCCCTGCCCCCCACCCCCCATGCACATGAAGCCACCCGCCATAACAGAATGCTCTAGAAGTGCCCGAGTTGTCACGGAAGACGTGGAGGTCCCTGCCCAGAGCTCTTCTCGGATGAAGAGGGTCTTGGGACATTTTGGGCTTTGAGCATCTGTGGGCGCTTGATGCAGGGGAAAAGCAAAGCGCTAGAAGAGCCTGTCAGCCGCAGGCTATCTCTGAACAGTCGCTTCTCTTTCTGGCTTAGACGTTTCTGGCTAACATGTTTAAAAACTTCCCTTACCCTTCTGTAGGTGTCCAAAGGCTGCACTGCACTCCCGATTCCTGCACTTGCCTCTGGCATAAGGGACTTTAAATGCTTAGTGTGTGCCAGAGTTAAAGGGTTTGAATGGATCTTTTGGTTTCTAGTACGACAACTTTGCATTCCCAGGAAAACATATGGAGACCAGTGAATTGACTGAGAAGTACTAACGCAGGTTTTCTGGGGGAAAAGGCCTGGAAAGGCCTGGCCAACTAACACTTTAACATCTAACAAGCTTTCTGGGAGGCTTGGTTAGTGCTTCCAGATTTGGGTCTGGAGACATCTGTTAGGCGTTTACTGTAGGAATTCATGTTTTCTAAAATAATTACTAAAACACCACATTTATGAGATGAGAATATAGATGAGCCATTTGTCCCAAACAATAAAGGAGAATTTTTAAAGAGCTATGAAAGCAATTTAATTAGACCCAATAAAGTCCTTAAGAGTGCCGATTTAATGGAGGATGGGGAGTGGGTTTCGGTTGGAGTAACAAGTATGTAAATTAAGAACTTGTTTTTATGGATCATTTCTTTAGAAAGATAGTGATTTGGATGTCAACTTTTCCACTTAATCTCTAGGATGCAACAGTAGAAAGGGGGATCCCCTCCCCTCCTTGCTTGAAAGTTAATTCAACATATTTCTGCTGTCATTAATATCCTAGAACTAAAATTGAGCATTGTGTCTCACTAATGATTGTATAGATTCAATCTCAAAGGGCCTTATCTCAATCTAGGCTCAATGCCTCATTTTTTTTTTCCATGAGGAATCTGTGAAGTGACAAATTCATGTTTTATTATAAATCCTATCAAACCAGGATGTAGGAAAGCCTAGTACTTTGTGTTTTCTTGGTGATTGTGAAATTTTACCACACTCTAATACCTCTGTACTACCAACATACACGTGTGTGATGGTAAACCCCAATCCACCCTTCAACCTTTTCACTATCTGAAGCCACAAAGCTGTTAAATTTAGAGAAGAAAGCATGAGCTCAGGATCAGTGTGCAAGTGTTTTAATAATGTGTTTTCTTGTGAATGTAAAGACAACCTTGATTTTGTCTGCTGAAACTATCACATCATTCCATTCATACCGTTGCAAGTGTACAGCACCACCGATGGCAGATTTTTAACTGCCAGGAATCTTCTTTCACGTTGCTTTTAATGTGTATTGTGAGACAGACTGAGGGGAGAGACTTGCTAACCAAAGTAAGGAGATTCTTACCCTGACTGCAGTGCGTGGCCTTTTCTGGCCACCAGTAAGTGCTGGGAGGAGTGGACAAAGCAGGTTGGGCATCCTGCCATTCATTTCAGCTCATCATTACTTCTCAGGAAGTGCCCCGTGTTGTGAACCCTCAGCGGGAGTTGGGGAACAAGTCCTGGGGAGGGGGAATGTGTATTACAAATTGCTACACACTTGGTGTACTGAAGGGTTTTTCCTCAGTAGTTTAGGGTTGCGGAACAAACCCACATACGTTAAACTGCTAGGAGCCCCCTCTTTTCTTGTTGGGTGGTCTTCGAGGCCTACGCTGTAGCTTGTTCTGGCCTTGACGTTTGAATGGCTCTTGGTCCCAGACTGTCATTCTCCAGGCTGCTGGTGCAGGTGGGCTGCTTAAGCGCTGGTCCGCTGCTGTCCGAGGCCAGCTGTTGCTCGGCCTTCCGGATCACAGGGCACAGAGCCTGGAGGCTCCGGCGGGAGTCCGCAGGGAGGAGCCTGGAGCGCGCGAGCCGCCCGCGGGGACGCTGGACCCACCCGAGGGCGCAGGGGTCACGCGCGGTCGCGGCCGGCATACGGCAGCGCGGGGTAGGGCCTCCCCTCCCCCTCCCGGCAAGATGGCGACCGCGGTACCCATGTGACGGGCTCCGCCCCGCCCTCGCCGTGCTGGCCTTGGCCCCTGCGGGAGGCGGGCGGTGAAGGTGGAGAACCACGTGGGACCAGGGCTAGGGAAGGCTTATCTCTGATGACCCCAGGAAAGGGGAAATTCGTGAACCTGCGTTTAATTTCCCCGGAAGTAACTTTGTGTTCACAAGTATGCAACTTCTCATTGCTAAGGAACCATGTTTTCACTTACAACTGTTAGCAAGTGAAGCCCTTAGGTGCTCCGAGCTGCATATCGGCCTATATACTCTGGCTAAAGTAAAAAGAATTCCCTTTTTACTTTAATGTTTTTAAGTAAAAGTATGCTGGTCCGGAATACTGTTCCTGAGTCCCAGAATTGTACCCAGTAACTGAAGCAGCCTCTTTTTAAAAAATTTTAAGCTAGTAACAGTTATGGGTAGGGCATGTGCTTTAATGCCTGTTTTGTATTCTATTCTTTGAAGTTGACCAGGTCCAGCACGCAGCCCCTGACCAGGCGCGCTGTCAGGAAACAGGGAGATCCAACAAGTACATGCTTGTTCTTAAAAGTGACAGTTCATAGTTTTAAAAATGGAATTGGGATGATTTTGTAGTAGTGCATTAGATTACAGCTTCAACATAGACATTTCTTTTAGGAGACTTGGAGGTAAACCTCATTTCCTTTCCAGCTGCAGTGGACTGCCAGTTAGCTTGCATATGATTCCACAAACAGACCAAGGGGCTGTAGTGAAAATACTCAATAGCCATGTCCTAGGACATGTACATAGTTCTGTGTTAATCACATGTGGAGCATAGATGGAAATACCTGATATTAACATTGATCTTTTCTTGTCTTTAGGAAGTTAAACTATAAACTAGGAACAAAAAACTGTATTTTTAGTGATATTAACTTTATTGCTAGTTCATTGAAAAGACAAGAACCAAGACAGGCAAACTTCCTGCGTTTGCATGATTATAGGCCTGCTAACTGTTTATGTTTAGTTGTTTTGCCTGATTAATAATAGTGTTTAAATAAAAGATGAAAGTGTTAACTTCAAATACAAAGACACTAGGTCCTATGTCTTGGTGTCATTTGAACTCATAAACCATATTTGAACTCATCATTTGAACTAAAAAAAGAAAAGTGGCTGAGTCCTTTGCTTACTAAAATTAGTAAATTTGGTAAGAAAAAAAAACCTTAGTAACAAAGAATACCTTGTGAAATTGTTACACACACACACACACACCCCGCTGTATTGTCCTTGACAGAACAAAAATTTTTGTTCAGTTTGCAATACAGCTAATGTATTAGTGGTGTTGGAGCCTGGGAAAGAAAGCTCTTTACAAAGCATTTTAACATAAACACTGCTTCTCCAGGAAAATGTTGAGTATCTCTGTGCCAGTGTATGAACATTGGTTAAGACTAGTTTTTTTTTGTTTGTTTGTTTTGTTTTTTTTTATTTTTTTGAGACAGGGTCTCCTTGTAGCCACAGCTGTCCTGGAACTCACTATGTAGACCAGGCTGGCCTTGAACTCAAGGAGATCCACCTGCTTCTGCCTCCCCAGTGCTGGGATTAAAGGCGTGTGCCACCTTAACATTCACTGGTAATGTATATTTACATTTACTTTTTGGTCACTGCTAGAATATTTGGTATCTTGAAATAAAAGGTGTCAGTGGAACAGTGGGGCCCTACCTGAAGTTTTCCTCACTTAAAAGTTGGAAGTACTTATCCCACTTTTGCTAGGAATCATTAATAATTTTAGATAGAAGCTAGGGAGTAGATAGAGCATTGTGTCTCACAGGGAGCAGGAATAGCACTGGGCTTCCATGGGAAATGCTAGATTGGTCTGGCTGCAGCCAAGAATAAAAGCAGCAGTCTGTTATGAAAACACTGTTGGGTATAGCTTTTTAGAATCAGGTAGTAATTCTATTTTAATTAACAAATAATAGCCAAAGTAAAGTATCCTTCCCTGGGTAGGGCACACTGTCTCTGTGCAGTAGTCTTCCGAGGTAGAGGAGGAAACAGAACCTAAGCAAGCTCTGGTCCTCATTTGAATAAGGTATGTCTTGATCAGACTTTACAGTCTGCAGTGCCCTTTTTTCTTTCTTTGTGGGGAGAGGTGGAGGATTTGTATTATTAACAGAGGTCTTAAAGAGAAAAAGTATAATCAGTAGAGCACTTCTTGGGGGATTAAATTCTAGCCCTGGGACATTAATCAGCATCCATGAATCTGAGCTTCAATCCCATCTGTTAAAATAGGGAGAATAAAACCTGGGCCTGGTGGCACATGCTTTTAATCCCAGCAGAGACAGGAGGATCTCTGTGAGTTCAAGGCCATCGTGGTCTACAACGTGAGTTCCAGGCCAGCTGGGGCTACAGGGAGACCCTGACTCAAAAAGACAGAAAAAAATAGAGAAACCTTTTTTTGAGGTTGGGATGATTGAATAAGGGTTGGTAAGTTGCAAAATAATACACTGTTTTGAACACATTCTCAGTTTACTGCAGTTTGTTTCCCCTACTAAGATACAGCCCCCTATCTTCAGAAATGTGGGATCTTTTGTGGGTTTTGTTTTTATATTTAAAGTTCACATGGTGGAGTGTTTTTTTATTGCTGAAATTCTAGATTGGCATTCAAAAAGGATAGACAGTTGAAAAGATAGTATTTGAAAAATATTTATTTAGGGAAGTTATTT